CAGTCTTTTACCTCTCTGGGACAGAGAAGGAGACTGCCCAGCCACATTCCCTCCTAAGCTCAGAAAATCAGTCTCCCTTGTCTGAGTTTCACCTCTTCCTGCAACAGAGCTTGCAGGGCCAGGAGTCCCCACCTCTGTGAACCTGCTTTTTTATTTCCTTTGCTCACATATGAAGCTCACCCACAGAAAGTTCACTGTACTCAAACGTATTTGCCCTGGAAAAGGTGTCCTGGGGCTGCAAGCGCAGACAGGCATGGCAGCAGGGAGGTACTTGGGAGGCAGGTGTGCCCTGTCTCAGGTATCTGAGAGGTTTGGGGAGTCGAGGGAAGCAACTGCTGCTCTGCCTCCAGCAACTGCAGCAATTCAGAGGTCACCTCTCCCTGTCCCTTTGTGCCTCTGGGCCTTTCAAGAAAAAGAAATTAAGACCTATAAATCAAATGGTGTCAGTAGGAATAGGTTTTTCAGTTTGGAGGATCTTTGCAAAAGGAGTAGGAGAATTGCATAAATTAAAAAAGTCTAAGAACATCACATCCATGGTCCCACTCTGCACCATTCCCAGCAGAACAATGGCTCTCAGCTCCTATGTTACCAGTACCTGCCACCTCTGAAAATCCTTCATGGCCCCACATGAAACCTCAAAAGCCATGGACAAAGTGTAGCCCAAGCAGTTGTCAGGAGGCTCTCTAATTCTTCACACTTCCCCTTGCCCCACATCACAAAAATTTAGCCTCGAGTGTAACCTGGGCTCTGTCAGGAAGGATGGAGGGGTGTTAGAAGACAGTTCTGCTTTCTCTAGAGGGTCCAACTTCTTCTGGTCACACCAGGCAAACCAAAAGCCACACAGGCAGTTGCAGCCAGCAGGTCTGGCTCAGCTGGAAGGATGGGCAGGCTGGATCTCAGCAGGTGCAGGCAAGGAGCTGTGTCCTTCTGCAATGCCAGGGTCCTGCTGGAATGCCAGGGTCCAGGCATGCTGCCAGGAGTGTGTCCTGTTTCACCACAAACCTTGCAGGACTCTGGCACTGGACCCACATTTTACAGCAATCATGTCACTCCAGGGATGTCCCCTCTGCTGCAGGGACACACTCTCCTGTCAACCCTACAGACGTGGCAGGTCTGGAGTTCTTGAAGTGTTTGCAAAAAGGGCTGATGACTGCTTCTACAGGCTATCCTTTGATCACTTTTTTTGTTTGCCGTATCTAGAATTTACGTCTTACCTGTCTGATACTATTTTTGTCCTCTAGACATGACTTCTCTTTGAAGGAGCCTCTCTGTTTTGAATAACCTCTGGCCCTGGTGGTTATTCCTGCTGCTTCGCCTCTACCTTTTGATACCAGGAGCTCTGAAGGGCTGCCTTAGCTCTTTGCAGGATTGCTGGCCACTGTGACCATGCTGCTTTATCTGTTTCCTCATTTCCACATATTTCCCCTTTTTGATGCTGATTAAGATGTCCCTGGACTTTTCAGTCTTTGGTACCTATGCAATGTCATGGAAACAAAGCGTGTTTTGGCTGTCACCAGCAGGCAGCCCTTTCCTGGGAACATGTTTGGGCCATATTTCCTGCACAGAGCTCAGTTCCCCATCTTCCTCCCAGTCTCGTGGTGCATGTGGAAAGCCACACACTGACACCTTGCTCGGTGCTGCAAACCACTCATAAGAGCTCTTGAAGAACAACAGCAGTAGCACTATACCCTTCCCCTTTCTTTCATTTGGGATTTCTGTTCCCAAAGGTTGTATCCATGATGCAAAGAGGTCTGCATCCCTCCTCTGAAGCAGGGCCCCCATCACTGGGGCCATACCTTGGAGAGTCACAGAATCACAGAATCTCAGAATCACAGAATCACAGAGTGAGCTGAGTTGGAAAGGACCTACATGGATTATCAAGTCCAAATCTTTGCCATGCACAGGACTTCCCCAGGAGTCACACCATGTGCCTGAGAGCACTGTCCAAACTTCATGAGCTCTATCAGGCTTGGTGGTGTGTACACTTCTCTGGGGAGCCTGTTCCAGTACCCAACACCCTCTGGGTGAGAACCTTTTCCTAATATCCAACCTAAACCTCCCCTGACACTTCAGGCCATTCCCTCAGGTCCTGTCACTGGGCACTACAGAGAAGAAATCAGTGTGTGAAATGTCTTCTGCCTGCAGCTGGAAGTCAGTGTGCACACCCACATGTGCTCCTCCCCTCTATGATGCTCCCCAGGAGTGGCATCCTGCCCTCCCCTCTGGAACACCTGCAGCTGCTGGTGCCAGACCAGCCCTTGCCCCAGGAGCATCCCAGGCAGGGAAAAAGGGCCCTGGGCCATGAAAGCTGCTCATGGGCAATGCTGCCACTGAAGTTCACTCAGAGGAGCCTGGTGGTTTTCAGTGTACAGCTGGAGGCACTGAGGCAGAGAGGGAGTCAGCGAAGGGCCCAGGGGAGGAAGTCAGTACAGCAGGGACCAGTTTCAGTGCTGAGCCCCAGGATGGGGCCGCAAGAGCAGCACTGTCCTTCCTCCAGATGAAGGGGAACCAGGCTGTGCCCCAGTGCCAGCCCAGCCTCAGCCCTCCTGGCCTGCTGCCACAAGCAGGATATCACTAACCAGGGACCTGGGAAGTGGCTCCTGTGGCTCCGGGCTGGGACAGAGGCAGTTCAGGGAGTTGTCCTGCCCCCAGGCTTGGCTGCAGCTAGGCTGGCCCAAAATCTGGATGTTCAGATGTTTTGAGGTCACACACAGCTCCCAGGAGTTAATATGAGCTTGAACTTTGTTTTATGATCCCAAACTAATGGCCACAGATATGCCAGAGTCACCTGCATGCCCATCCCCAGCCTGGCAGCCCCTGCCCATCATGGCACAGCTGCTGAATGGAAATTTGTGGGATTTCAAATGTTCAGGGATGGAGCAGGACTGGTCTGGTGACTGGTATTCCTGCCACAGTAGTGGGGGTGGGACTAGATGATCTTTAATGTCCCTTCCAACCCAAATCATTTTTTGATTCTATGAATTGTGTGCGTCACTGTGTGTTGCACACTTACCGTCTGAACATGGGATCTGGCTGCCAGGAGGGGTACAGGAAGGAAAGGCATTCCCTTCTCCCTTCCAGTATATATCAGGCTTTTCCATTGGACACATGCATTCCAGAGTTCCTTCAGCACTGACAGCCAGGGTCCATGGTCAGCGTCTGTGACCTGAGGATGTGCCAGGACCTGATGACCTGGGCAGAGAAGGTCCAAGGGGATCTGCTAGGATCCCCCAGCACTTGACACCAGCAGGTCCCCCCACTCTCAGCTGGCACCTGTCCCTCGAATTGTCATGTCCATCTGGACTCCCACTGCACCCTAAATCTGTCCCAGCCCTGCTGTCACCCCATGACTTTACTCCTGCCACCACTGGGTCCCACAGTCATGTGGGTCACCCCCCCCAGCTTCTGTACCATGCAGAGCAGATTCCTGTACCATGAAACTGGGCTCCTTTTTGCATCCCACATGATGAATCTCCGCTCTCAGGGTTCACCTACTGAGCCCAGCACTTCTTTGCTAAGACCTGCTTTGAGATCTGAAAGGAAGCCAGGAGCAACTTTTCTGAGCAGCAGGCTCAGAGATACCTGCAATGAGCAGGAGAGGAGGACACTGCTGCTGCCCAGGTATCATGAGACAGGCAGGACTGACTGCATCTTGCTGCTGGTCCAGAGCTGCCCCTGGCCTGGCTCTGTACCTCAAGATGTATGAGATGCCTCAATCAGCAGAGTCCCCAGAGAACAGGAGCCCCCACGATGAGTATCTACAGACACCCAGTGTCTTTTCTTCCTGCTTATGACCCTGACAGAGCTCATAGGCCCATGTCCCCATCAGGATCCTTGCTGACCCTCCAGGATCAGGTCACCAGCAGGGTCATCCAGTCACAGCTCCAGTACTGCCCCATACTGTCCCAATGTCCCTTACACATTGCTGGGCACTTCCAGCCTTGCAGGATTCATGGGCTTTGTGCCCTGTGGCCAGTTCCTTGTTGGCACAGGCTATCTGATAGCCCTCAACCTGTATCTGCTTTAGCCAGATGACCCCAAAGAAGTCCTCAGCAGCTGCAAGTTCCATAGCAGCAATCCCAAATCCAGCCTCTGACACCTTAAACCTTAAACGCTCTGTGCCTCCCCTGCATCCAAGACTACCCCAGGCACCCAAGGAGCTGCTCAGTGTCAGAGCCCACAATGCAGACAGCTGGAAATCCCCTTTCCTGCCCCAGGGCTGACTCGGCACCTTGGGGCTGCTGTTTGCCAGCACATGGTCCCCTTCCTCATTGGGCCAGCCAGTGCAGGCAGGGAGAGCAGCCTGGCTCCATGGAACTTGTGAACAGCCCTGACCATTGCCCCTCTGAGAGCTTAAATCAAAGCAGCTCATGTACAGGCCCTGGCAGCTCTGTACTGCTCCCAGCCAGAACAGGGGTTTATGTTGTGGATTTTTTTCAGCAGTTTTGATGCACTGCATGTGTGCAGATCATTTGTCCACATAGATGCAGCAAACTCCGAAGTGGTGCCCTTGCAGCGAAGGCTGGAGTCACAAGCAGAGTTCTTCCCCTTCTCCTTTTGAGCTGCTGAGAGGTAAAGAGGTGGCTCTTGGGGTTCATGGTGGACTTGGAGACCCAACGTTTGAGTCTACGTTTAGAATCCCTGGAGCCCTTCCTTATGAGTGACCCACAGCCACTGAAATTCATGGCCAGGTTGTCCCAGGCTATGGGCCCCAGCCCACAACCCCTCCTTCACCTTCCCATGACCCAGGAGAAGCAGATTCCAGGCTGAGATGGTGTGATCTCCTGTCTGAAACCTGCTTGGGTCCCTGCAAGCAATGCACAAGGAACCCCAAGACATATCATCATCTGTAGTGCCCACTCCCCCCACCCCTCAGGCCTGAACTGACAGGTATGTCCTCCTGAAGGTCTGGTGTAGGCTGTGGTGAGCGCAGGAGGAAGCACAGCACAGGTAACCCACAGACCCTCCACAGGGATGCGCTGAAATGAGAAGTCTGGGTAGCAGGGGGCTCAATCAGCACCTTTTTTATTAATATGCATCATAAATAAAGAAATAAATAAAGGCGAGACACCTCATTCTAACAGGGAAATACAAATTAAATATGGTGCAACATCCGCTAAGCGATGTACAAGCAGGAGGTAACCTAGCAAGACCAGAGCCCCTTGCCATGGTGAAGCCAGCCCAGGCACGATGCTGTGAACAGCGTCAAGCTGGCCATGGCACCAAATACTGGCATGGCCTTTCATTAACACTGTTCCCCACCTGACAGGCAGGTGAAGATCCCCACTACAGCAGGCGGCATGAACATGGCAAGGAAGGGGTTGACTGGCATTGCCTCTACCAAGGACCCCAGGACCTCCAGTATCCCCTTGTGTTTGTGCACAACACTTATCCCCCCCACCCCACGGCACTGCTCAGCAAGACCAGAAACCCTGTGCCAAAGGGAGCACCACCCCTCCCTCCCCAGGCTCCCCAGCTCCCTCTAGGAGCACCCCCAATCTACTTGATGGGAGCACTGCCCCCAAATCCCTAGCCCAGTCAGGGACCCTGCCCTCATTCCCTCCCCTCCAGTGCCTCTCCACTGAGCATCCCAGGGCTTCCCAAGCACTGGTTCCCTGCTCAGTGTGGAGGGCACAGGGCCTCCCCCCAAAGCACCCATCTCTGCACAGGGTGGCACTACCCATTCTGGACCTACATAACACTGAACAACCTTCCTCACAACCCCACACACCCCTTTGCTCCACACTCACACATGCCCTGTCCCCCTCCCCTGGCTGTGGCCACGCACAAACCCAGCCCTGCAGTGTGGCACTGCCAGGCCACTTGTCCTGGGACAACCCACCGGGAACAGCACCCTAGGACAGGGATGCTCTGGTGTGGGGGAGCCCACCTTGCAGTGCGCCAATAAACACAACCCATCAGCCCAGCCTCGCAGGGACCCTGCCAACACAGGGTGCTCCCACCCCTGTGGCTGAGGATGCCAGGGATGCTGGAGGCCACAGACTACACTGCCACCCCCAGGGTGCCAACATCCTGCACCCTCCAGCATCCAACAGCTGGGCAGCAGGACAACGCTGTCCCAGCAGGGACTGCTGGGGTTCCTGTAATGTACAAGTCCATGGTCTGTGGGTGCTGGAGACAGTGTGGGGCGGAGGGGGGGGTCAGGCGGTCCCTGGTGTGGCTGCATGCATGGCGATGCCTGGCAATACGAGGTGCAGCTCGCAGAAGACCCCGGGGGGGTAAGTTGGCCTTTGGCAGCTGTACAAGGAGGAGCAAGAAGGAACCACCTACGGTTACTGTATTCTGTAATGGCAGGAAAGGTAAGAAACTAGCAAGAAGCTGTGTTTGTTCCTCTGGCAAGGTAGGCTACCCCAGAGGATCCTCAGCAGCCCAGGGAACTGTGCTTGGCCTCCTAAACGTGTCAATAGTCCTCGTCCTCGGGGTGGGTGACGTACATGATGGGCACCAGTCCCTTCTCGGAGCCGAGGCTGCACTGCAGCCAGTCACCATCCACCTTGGAGATGACCTGCAGAATATCCCCTTTGTTGAAGCTCAGTTGTCCTGCCTCGGTGGCAATGTGATGGCAGAGAGCTTTCACCTCACTGCAGGCAGAAGGAAAGTAGGGTTAGCTCATCTCAGGACACTCACCCCACCCAGAGACCACCACAGGCCCAGAGGAGAGAGGAAAACATCCCCTGCTTCCCTCCCCAGCCAGGCTCCCAGCTGCTCCCCCAATTCCCCATCACCTGCAGATTGTGGAGTTGTGGTGGAAGGATGCAGAAGCTGCATCACTGCCCCAAACCATTCTCTGGTCCCTGTCTATGAAGAAGGCCAGGCAAACTGCCACAGTGCCACCCTCAACCTACCACATTCCAGCACCTGCAGGATTGTCCCCTTGGTGTCACTCACTAGGTAGGGTGAGGAGACATCCCCTGGGCTGGTCGTGCCACAGCCGGTGCCTCAGGTGGTTTTGGATGGGGAGGGTCTGGCTCCGGGGCTGCCTCACGCCACATGCTAGCCCCAACTGTCTGGGCCACCAGCTGGAACACAGACTTGTCCAAGCTCAGCCAGCCGGAGGGCAACCTGGAAGGAGGAGAGGGGAGCAGTCAGTGGCAGGAAAGTACACCCACAGAAGAACAGAGGAAACAGAGCAGCTGTTCTCATGGCAAGGTCACTGCTAGGCAGTGCCCCAGGTCTCCAGGTGGGGAGGGCTCAGGTGTAACACCACAGCCTGGAGTGGGAAGGACATTTCCAGTGGTCATTTTTAGGAGCAGTAAGGATATACAGAGGGAGAGGCAGTGCAGAGAGATCTCAGCTACTGGGAGTAACTTCATGCCTCCCCCTCACCTGTTGTAAGCAACAGGGTAATGGCTCCATGTTCTGTTCTCAACATGTGGTTTTGGGAGGGATGAGATGATGATGAGGCCATGTAGCAGGGTTTAGATGCCAAGGCAGTGATAGAGCTCAGGCAGAAGAGGAAAGCCTATGAGATGGACTGAGCAAGGGTATGGGAGGAATTAAGGCAGGCTGGGAAGACTGAGCAGGGTTACAGACCCTTGATGTCCCACCACAGTGTAGCCCAGCAGTGAGTTCTTGGCCTGACTTCCACCTGTACTCCAGTTTAACCAGCCCTTCTCAGCCCCAAACCACTCCTGCCCTTACCTGTTTGGTTGCCTGGGCTCTTTCTGTACCTTCCTGGACCCAAACAAGTGTCCCCACTTGATGGGTTGGCTGCTCTCTGATGCACTGGTGCTGCTGTCCTCTTGGGGGGGTGCTGCTGCTGCTGCTGCTGCTGCTCTTTGCTGAGCCTCCTTCTCCTTGCTGCGCTTTAGCTCTGTAAGCACAGAGTCTGGGGGGCTGCCCATCCAGAAGGGCCAGCTCCGTTCCTTCACCTCTTCGCCGACCACTACCTGCTGGGGCTTTTCCAAGGGCTCTTCCAAAGCTTCAGGACTTGGCTTGCTGGCTGCCTTGGGCCTCTCCTCCAAGATGCCCTCAGCAATGGGACAAGCCTCTGCACCCTCCACCACCCCTTCTCGGGGAGGTGGGGCCTTGTGGGTCTCCACTGACCGGGGTGCAGGATTCAAAGCTGCCTTCTTCTTCTCAGAGCGGATGAACTTTGAGCCTTCAGCTGAGCTCTCAATGTAAATCTGAGAGGTCTGCATGAGCTGGTACCACCAGCCTGCCTGCTTGTCCTTCTTCCCCTCCCACGTGCTCTCTCGCAGCTTGCTCTGCTCTTCCTCCCTGTCACCTTCTCCACAGGAGGCCCCCACTCCCTTGACCCTCTTCTCACTCACAGCTTGCTGTGGGCTGTGCCCTGGTGAGATGTCACCATCTCTGGCACCCCCTTGGCATGTTTCTGGGGCGGTGCTGCAGCCATCAGGATCCTCACTGCTGCCCCGGGTCCGCATCAGCTGCAGGGTGGAGTGCACAGAGAGCAGCAGGTCCTGTTTCACACGCAGCAGCTCCTTTTGCTGCTGCTGCTCTTTGCCCATCTGCATCAGGTGGTGCTCGAAGAGGAGGTCTAGGTTGAAGGGCAGCAGGGAGAGAGGCTGGAGCAGGAGCAGGAGCTCCTCAAAAAGAGGCTGGCACACACTGTGAGACAAGCACAAGAAGCCCACTGGCTGGTAGTGTGCCAGGATGATGTCTGTAGGAAAACAGACATTAATTAGACGAGATGCTCTTGCCACCATTGCCAAGCCATCATGAAGCTGCTGAAGCTATGAGGAAAGGAGATGAACACTGGATTTTGGTCATAATGTGAGGCTCAGGCCTGGGTCAGGGAGCAGCAGATGCTCTGTGACCTCTCAGCAAACTACCCCAGAGAGAGATTGCCAGTTGTACCTGCAGCCAGGACTTGCAGACTATCGACCCAGATGACCTCTGTCACCAAATGCCATGGAAGTAGGATGGGAATAAAGAGCACCAAAGGGTTGGCACATGTGAAAATCCTATTCTTCAAGTTCTGCACAAGGAACTGCAGATATAGCCTGTACAGATAGAGGTGTCAGGGACAGCTGAAAACAGTCTTTCCAGGGACCTGTCAGGGATGAACTGTGGGTCTCAGCAGAGACTGAATTAGCATTTCTATCTGTAGCACTAACTGTTCACTTGATTTGACCACATCTGCACTACCCCTCTGTCCTGCTTTATTGTCAGGTCTCACTACCAGGGAGAGAGCTGGGAAAGGGATTTGTGGCCCAAGCCCAGCAAGGTAACAAATCTACACCACAGACAGGACTTTCTTATCCCCAACCCCTCCACTTAGCTCTCATCATCCTGACAACCTCAGCTTTTGCTCACACTTCCAGCTCTTAATGATGGCTTGAAATAGGTAGCTGTCTTCTGCTTCAGAAAGCCAGAATAAGCACAAACCCTATTCTATTCTATTCTATTCTATTCTATTCTATTCTATTCTATTCTATTCTATTCTATTCTATTCTATTCTATTCTATTCTATTCTAGTCTATTCTATTCTATTCTATTCTATTCCAGTCTATTCTATTCTATTCTATTCTATTCCAGATACATCCAGTAAAATACACTTTTTGTATGTCAGGTTTTCCTTTCCATTTCTTCCTGTTTTCTGTGCCTGAAAAGTTTCAGGTAAATGTGCACATCTCCAGGCATACAAAACAGTCAGGCACTGGGCAGGGAGTACAGAAATTGTGGGGGAGGCTTAGATCTGATCTCCTGCAGGTAGACTGAGGAATCAGCACTGATAGCCTTGGGTACTAGCTGCAGGTGGGAAGGAGAATGGAAGTCCAGGTTCAGGTGGAAGGAGCTGCATGGTGCTTGGACTTCCAGCTGGGATTTCCCTGCTACATTAAGACTGCATATAGCTTAGTCCTTCAGCTCAGGGCAGAGAAGAGCAGCCCAAGCTGAGAGAGCAACAAGAAAAACACATTTCCATCCCATGCTCTATTTGTGTGCAGAGTTTGGCTCCCACTGCAGCCCACAGCCTTCAGGCTCTTACCTTCATGGTTGTAAAGGTGGTTGAACCAGAACTCCAAGGACCGGATACTGCAGGAATTGAAATTAGCAGGGTGAGAAAGAAACAGTGAAAATCTATTCACCCCATTCATCCTCACTGTTCTGCCTCAAGAAGTGTGTCTGGAAAAGGGCATTTACAGAGCACGAGCTTGTGAACCTCAGTGAAAGGGCAGTGGCTGGATCCCATGAGCATGCTCTGATCACAGACACTCAGCCTGCCGCTGAACATCTACATGGCTTTACCTGTGTGACTGTAACCCCAAACAACCATGCTACCAGCAGGATTCCTCACTGCTGTGCTCCTATATCCTTGATAGAGTTTTGTTTTGCTGAGAAGAGGCTGCTGTGGAGGAGGCAAATGATCTACAAAACTAAGATGAGTGCTGGTGGATCAGCCTGAATAACGCCAGTATCCTGTGCCAGTGACCCAGGCTAGGGATAGGGTCACCCTGTGTAGGAAGAGTAGGGCAGAGGTTGTTCCTGACTGGAGGTCTGCATCTGAAGATCTCAGGAACTCTGTTGCCACTGCCAGAGCTCCTGCTGAGCACCAGAGAGGAGTGGGGAAACACAATCCTAGCAGTGCTTATACCTTCATCCACAAAAACATATTGCTGCCTTCCTCGGTTAAACACAGCAGAGTGTGCACACTCCTTATCCAAACCAGAAGGGCCAATCTGGAGTCCTGGACCAGGGCAATTTCTCCTTCAGAGTCTCATCCCTTGGGATCCACTGCAGCTCCAGGAAACAGTGGTTTAAAGATGAATTTCCAAGAGTGATATATTATGTCTAACCTCATATGAAGCTGTATAGACAGAGTTTTCTCACCTAGTGTTTTGGGGCTAAAACAGACTGTCCCTATTCTTCAGGTGGCTACAGTCACTCATTCTAAGCCCTGACCTGGATGGAGTTTCCTGAGGCTTACAGCTTCTTCTCTTCCTTGCCTACTTCTGGGAAGTGCCTTCCCAGATTCTTAGAAGTTTTTTTCATGGTCAACGGTGCCTGCCTGTAGTCAAGGACCAACAGCTGCTGCCAGCCCTGGACAGGGACATGCAGCCACCCCAGGGGTTCTGCTTACTTGAGGAGGCCGAAGATGAATGCGTTGAACCTCATGGTGTGGTTGGTGAGCTCTGTGTACTGGCTGATCTTGCTGTAGAGGCTGTGCAGCAACTTTGTAGAGGGGCCTGTGGTGAGAAGCAAATTGTTGAGATTAGTTGTGGTGTGCAAAGCCAAAACTGCAGCAGAGGATGGAGCATCAAGGCAAATCAGACATTGTCTGGGTGTCCATGTCTGTGTGTGCACTGCCCTCCACTACACAACGTGAACTTGCTCCATGCCAGCACTTAGACTACACATGGGAGATGGGCTCTTATCCATCGCAGACCACCACTCCAAAACTCTGGGAGAGTTCCATTACCACAGGGACCTGCCTCCCACACTTCAGTGACAATCACAGCCATTGGCTCAAAATCAGCATGTAAAGAGAATATTGTGGTCTGAGCTTATAATTTGGGGTGTCTGCAATCATAGAGATAACTGCAGAGCTGTAGATTTGCCATAATCAGGCTATGATTCTCCCCAGTATAATGCAGAAACCAAAGTGGAATTAATTTTCTGGGGGTTTGTTTATCCCTTTTTTTATTGGTTTGGCCATGTTATGGGAGAATTTGCAAATTTCAGGGGAAATGACTAGAAATACTTTGGCAGAGTAGTGCAGTGTCTCTCCCTTCTTGCAAGACAAGGCCAGTGTGCACCCTGTTTCATGTAGGAAAATGGGTGTTTTGCACTCCCATCCTTAGAGCCAACCTTCCCCAGCACCTCCCAACCACAACTACCACAGGCACTGCTGCACAACACCCATACCTAGCTGGGTGGACGCCTCCACCACGCTCCAGGGGATGTTCCTCCTCTGGCCGATGATCATGTCCAGGACATAAGCCTTGAGCCCATCACTCAGAATGTCCCGGACAGCTGGGCACAGGTATTTCAGGATGAGATGTCCCACATTTGGGCTCACAGAGCTGTTCCCAAGCTTGGCCTAATGGGCGAGAGGCAACAAGGAGAGTGTTGGTAACTGTTTTCAAGGTACAGATGCATGGAAAATGCTCAGCCCCACTTGCCTACTACAGACACTCAGCAAACAACATCCAGGCTCAGCAGCTCCTTGAACATGCAGGGTCTTTGTTTTCACTCCTGATGCTTCAGACACCAGTTCTGGACTGCTCTGTGCAAGCTCTTCCCCAGGCTGGGAAGAGGAAAAAAGAATATCCCAGCTTGGGAAGAGGATATCCCAATTAGAAAGGATGCCTAGTTCTCCCAAAAGGGATAACAAGGCTCTCCTGCTGGAGGAAGAAAAGAACTGGGGATATTCTACTGCTTTAGATTTTCTTGTAGCTAATTTTGGAGCAGGAAGCACCAAGCCACATAGAACTACCAGCACTGAGGGGTTAAGGAACACTTAACTCAGTGACATGTCAAGCTCAAGCTCCTAGGGATTACTATAAATAAACAGATGAGGACAAAATGGATGGCCAGAGATCAGACTGAGGTGAAGAGGAAGCACCAGCAAGAGCAGGGACACATTCTACTGCTTACAGTCTTTGATCTGCCAAGGGATCTATCCAAATGGGTCAGGCAATGGTGTTCAGGGCACAGATTTTACCAGCTGAGCTGGACTTATACTGACCAGTTGGCACAGGTTCACAAAAGCCCTCAACTGAAACTGAACTTGGCTCAGGAATAATCCTGTCAGATCCACTGAGCACAGCAGCAGCAGGGATGGATGCTGCCTTTTGACAGGTGAATGCTCAGTCCCTGGCACACTGATGCATAAAGAAACCCGAGGTTAAAACCAGAGCATTGATCAAACACAGTCTGATAAGCAAAGTATGGGGGAATGTTGCAATTATTTCCCAAACATACACTGCAAGAACTGGAAATTCACAGTGAAGCCCTAAAAAGCCACGGGAATCTCAACAGCTCCAGTTGTGTTGCACAGCAATCTCTGCATCAGCAACAGCTGTAATTAGGGGAAAATTACACTGGGCTCTGAGATAAGATTGAATGGTTTTGGAATCTGTCCCAGTCGGCATGCCAGGGGAGTTGTCATATCCAAATAGTGTCACATTGCTGCCCAGAGTCACCTGACAGAAGCCAAGCATTCAGCATTGAGAGGAGACACCACAAACATGCTGGGTGTCACAGGACTGCAAACAATGCCTGGTACAAACAGCAGCAAAATTGCTCTGCTTCTGTGTTATTCTAGAAATGGGGGATGAGGGAGCACAGGCCAAAGACAGCCAGCCCCAGGGCAACTGAGATGCACTTATGTGTTATTCCAGAAATAGGAAATGAGGGGAGTACAGGCCTAAGACAGCCAGCCCCTTAGATGTACTCTGAGTGCTCTAAAGTATTCATGGTAAGGGTTACCAACTGGTAACCCTTCATGGGGGTCACCAACTGCCCCAGATGGGCGAAGTCTGATGCACTTTTTTATCATTACTAAGCCCTGTGAGATGCTGAGGGATGGGGAACACTGCACTGTGCCCTGGCACCAGTGCTAGGACAGAGTCACGAGGGACATGTGGAGGAGGGAGACACATTTCTCCACTCTGTGAGAAAAATGAGCTGGTGTGCTGCATCCAACAGAAGGGCATCTGGTCTGGTGTTTTTTCTTATAAATAGCCACAGTTAATACATAAAAAAGAGTTAAGCCAGAACAAACATATAATACTTGCCCTTTATACTTTCACAGCCTACAGCCACTTCCAACTCAGAGTTGGAAGCTGGACATTATTCCTAAAAGTAAACATCAGTGAATTTTCCTTGTATTTTTCTGATCTTCCTTTAAATACATGTACTTACTGCATCATGCAGCAGGAATTGTCACAGATTTACTATCTGCCACACAGTGTGCCATCACCTTTGTTTGGTTTGTTCTTGGTATTCCTCCCTTTGTTAGATAACCTGCAGTTTTTGACTAGAGAGGGAAATGGAGAGGCAATCTTGCTCTGTACTCTCCTTACCACTCAGAATGGAGTTGGATGCAAGACATACCTTCACCCCCGGATCCCTGCTGGTTCCAAAGTGAGCCACAATCAGGTCAACAGCAGTATTGATAGCCTTCACCAGAGCTAGAGGAAAACAACAGGTCAAAGAGCTGCCTGAGGGGCTGCTGGGACAGACCCTTGACAAAACACTCCTTGAAGTAATCAGCCAGGGGCACTGCAAGCCCATGTCTACACACAAGCGCTCTCTGCCAAAAAACATGCAGAGACTCTCCTAAATCCTCACCAAAACTCTCCCTGTTGTTCCAGCACTCACCTGTCAGCCTGCCAGTAGGACAACCTGTCAATGTCCCAAGGGACAGGGACCATCACCTCCACACCCCATGCCCTAGGCAGCAGAGATGGGATCTGAGGCAATGTGTCTTTTGCTGCCTTGATGCCACAGGGTGGCAGGGCAGAAGCCTTGCACTTGGCAGGTTCTGTCATGGCTTTCAGTAACAAGCCAGTGGTGTGTAATCTGTCATCTGCACCAGGATACTGTGAGAACAGAACTGGAACAGAAGGGAAAACTGCCACCTGGTAATGATGAGCCCAGAGCTGGCAAAGGTGTGGGAACCTTTCTGCACATTCCTTGCCTCTGAAATGATAACAAATCAGCTGTCAAATCCTGCCAATCCTGCCTAATGGATCCCATGTGTATCCAAGATACACAGCTCTATCTTGTCCTGCTCTCAAGTACTTTCTCCCTGCTTTTTATATGATTGATACAATCTTAAATTACTTATGTAGGACTGAATGGACTTTTAACCTAAATTACAAAATCTCAGGTCAGCATATTTGCAACATCACACAGATACACACAGGTCTACCTTTGTAAATAGAGCCTGGGGTGGCAGCATGCCCTGCCTTAGGGTCACACTCCTATGTCTGTCTGCTCTCTCTGCCCATTCTTGTGCACCTAAGAGCCTTTCTAATCATATTTCCTCCGTAGCACATTGCATGGTCCAGCAGAGATACATGGACTCACCCTTCTTCTGCAGCAAGTCAATGGAGATGGACTCCGTGTTGCCATCTGGGGAGAGGCAGAACTCAGCAGGGGGTTTCTCCGCTAGGGAGAAGTAGTCAGGGAAGAAGTCATTGTAGGTAAGCTGGAGTTGCCTCATAGACTGTCCTGCAGGGACAAGACAGAGGGGACAAGGATCAGCCCCAGTTCTGCACACCAAAGCCTCTTCTGTGTTGTCTGCTTTTCCCAGAAGCAAGCTGCACCAGCAGCAGTCCTCATGCCAGCCTGTCCTCTGCTGGGACAGCAAGGCTACAGGCTTGTTGCTACCCCAGCAGTGGTTTGCAACATGTGCCTGCAGAGTTGATCCTCACGGCCTACCCAATATCCACCTCCAGCTTGACTGGGGGCCCACAGGCTCTGGAAAATGCTGTGGGATGTTCACTCTCATGGGCTGGGGCTGAGGAAAAACCTTGCTGCACCAGACTCCCCATGCTGCTGCAAGCAGAGGCAGAGTCAGCACAGAGAAAATCATTACTTGTCACACACAGGTGTCCACAGACAACAGACTGCATGTTTGCTGCCTGTTCTCTGGGATGGCCTCTGTTTCCAAGGGGTGACATCCATAGGAGCTCTCCCATGTGCTTGACTTCCACCTGTCTGACTTTGTGCTATGCATTTTCCCTTGAAGAAAGATGGAGAAACTATTTGGGTTGGCAGACTGAGGTATAAGGCATTGAGGAATTCCCTCCATGGTTTGAGGTTAGCCTGTAGAATGCTTGTCCTCCCACAGACATACCACACTGCTCTCCCCACTGGAGTCTCAGAGGTTCAGTCAAAAGCAGCCTGCCCCTGTCAACCCTTCCTGCACATGTTTTGGAGGATGGGGAAGACCTTAAGGGCAAAGCCTGGAGAAGATAGAGTCCTGTGAAGGTCTTCAGTGTTGTCAGCTGCCTCATGAAATCCACAGCTCAGCAGCCAGCACAGGTCTGTGCAGATGGTCAGGCACCATAGGGCACAGACCTGAGCTCCCCAAGGGCCCCAGCTCCTGTGTCAGAGAAATTACAAGCTAACCACAGACCAGGAGCACCTACTGAGGGATAAACGAGCTCTTGGGCCATTCACTTTGCCCTTCAACCCAGCTCAGAGCTGGACCTGACTGCTCTCACCCCATGGAGAAGGAAGGTTACACAAAGATTGGAACCAGTGAAGCAATTTTCACCTTCCTCTTGAACCCCCCAGCCCCACTGTGAACAGAGGTATCATCCCTCCTGCTCTGAGCAGGCAGAACAGTGATGAATCCAAGCTTAACCCAAGTTAAGAAAAGTCAACCTGAGCTCAGGGAAACCGAGCCTGAGTCCCAAGGTCACCTCCCAAGACCCCCCAGCAGAGAGGTGGTGCGCACCGTTCAGCTTGCAGTGGAAATGGCTGGTGCTGAGAGCGCCAGGGAGCTCAAAGATGGGGTTGCCCCGGTTCAGCCGAGGCTCTTGCTGCCTCCTGTCCAGGCTGCCTGCTAAGCTGGGCAGCCCTGAAACGCGGTCCAGACCCAGGGGGTTCCTCCGCCTGTACTCCCGCCACTTCAGCGCTTGGGGGGAGAGGTGGTTCGCTGGGATGCCGCGGGCAGTGAGCACCAGACAGGATGACCAGAGCACACAGGAGGATGCGGAATGAAAATGGGAAGGGAGAGGAAGAGAAAGATGGAGGACAGAGAAAGAGAGACAGCACATTACTCAGAGGTCCAGCAGCATTTCAGGACATTAGCACATGCACATGGAGACAGGTGGAGGCCACTGCCTGGCAAAACAGGGCATGAGCTTGGGTGCCCTTGTGGCTGCAGGCACAGAGGCAGCAGGTTTGGGGTGCAAGCACCTGGCATGGGGTGCTGTAAGATCAGCAGCCCACACTGCCCTCTCTGGAGACACAGTGTAGATTTGGGACTGGAGGGACATGCTCTTAGTGTAGTCTTCCTGCAGCATCCAGATGCAATTTTATCCTGGTCTGTGGCTATAGGAAATGGTGGTACTACAAGGAGCAGCCACAGCCACAGGGAACTGTAGATGCTCCAGACTAGCAGGTCGTGGAGGATGGGTACCTACCATTGACAGGCCGTATGCCCATGCTGCTCAGGGGGCCAGAGCTGCTGGTCTCACTGCCACTTCTCCAGTGTGAATCTGCATGGCCTCGTACTCTGCTCATGGACATGCCACCCACTGAGAGGGGCGGGAGGGAAGCACTGTGGAGTCGGTATTCAGAGAGTGGCGGGCTTGGCTCCAGCGGGGCCTCCTTCTTGGGAATCAGTTTGGGGTTCTCCTTTTGCCTCAGGGTGTCAGCTTTGGTGGCTTTGGAGGGCAGCATGGCACTGACAGCGGGGGACGACCTCGTGGGAAGCAGGTTAGCAGAGAGGGGGCAGGACCTGCTTCTGGGGGGCTGGCTGTCTTCAGCTCTCTCTGTGGTGGGCGAGGAAGAGGAGTCCACGCTTTGGAAGAAAGGCACGTTGCATCGCACAGGGGAGTAACTGCCCAGCGGGGATGGACGGGTTGTTTCGGGGCCAGGCTTCTTGATGCCCCCATCACCGCGCGAGGCAGCTCCGTCTGCTGAGCGCTGGGTCATGAGCGTGCCATGGGCCTGGCTCCCCGCCACCGCCGCCTGCTCTGCCGACGTGGCCAAGGCTGAGGACTGGGAACTGGAGATCTGCTGGCTGGCAGGCCGGCTGCTGGACAAGCTGTAGAGCTGGGAAAGGCTGGAGGCAAAATGGCTGTGCAGGGCACGTGCCTTGGGCGGCTTGCTGAAATGGTGCTGAAAAACAAAGGGCTGGATGGGCAGAGTCGTGGGACGCTGGTCCTTGCTGTAGCGTACCACAGGCTTGCTGTCTGTGCCACCACCTTCAGGGAGAGAAAGGGGAAGAAAGTGTGAGGATGGGCAGAGCAACAATTATCCTCAGCCAAGCAGAATACAGGCAAAAGGGAAAGTGTCCTCTGTTGCAGGAGGAAGAGGATGAGCTAGAGGCCAGTTACAGAGTGGTTCAAGTCTGAACTGGTTACACACATCAAGAAAAAGATATGTGGCCCCAAGTGCAGAGTTTCCAGCTGTTTGGAAGAGCAGAGCACTGCACCAGTACCTTGTCTGTCTTGGCTCACCAGCTTCACATCCTTTCCCAACCTCCTGCCCCCTGCACAGCACAAAGCCACGGGGTCAGGCGCCTGCTCTTGAGCTGCCTCTGCCCAAACAGTACCACAAAGTCAAGGCCCAATACTTTGTGGTACAGATTTCTCATCCCCAAGGCTGTCCCCTCCCACATGCACTGTGGACTCGCACAGCCCAGCACAAGCATTACATGCAACAGCACTGCAGCTCTGCATCCCACATCACAACATAATGGTGCTGTTGCCTCCCTTTCTCCCTCCCTCTCCTCTTCCTTGTGACTATTCCCACTTCAGAACACAGAGCTTCCTTCATCCCCCTGCCTCTACCAGACCTAAACAGGACATTCCCAACATCCCGCCTCCAACCCTGGAAGGTGCCAGTCTGCTCCAGCAAATGATGTACTAGGATGTGCTGGAGGAGTGTGGTGGGCTGATCCACACGTGTATGTGCCTCCCGCTCCTGATGGGGCCACAGATATCCTGAGGGACACATCTGAAGTGTGACACACCGTGTGTTCAGTGCAAAACACAGACAGCACTGGGTGCATATGTGGGGCTGATCAGCCCTGGTGTTTATCTGCTGCCTGTGCCAGCTTTTAGCAGGCTTGATTTCCCTCTAGCCCCTCACAGAGCCTCTAGGCTTGCATGCTGCTCTGGTCTGGAGCAAGGCAGATATGCCTCCATCTCCAGCTGCAGGCAGAAGCCTCCTGCACAGCCCTGATGCCTGTCTTGCTGTCACAGTGCAGAAGGAAGGACTCCATCAGGGTGCTGGGCAGCAGCTGCTGGGATATATTAACCTGAAATCTGCCTGCCTGCCCCCTTCTCCCTGAGGAGAGCCTGCTCCTTGCAAGCCTCTGAAGCTAATAGGGCTGCTGCCATGCTGCCCTGTCCCAGAAGAGCCCTGCCTCCACTGCCATCCCACACCAAGCAAACATTCAGGGCTCAAAAAACAATAAACAGGACAATAACTAGAAAACTTTTGCTCCAAAGGCCAAAATCTCTCCCACCTCTGCCATGGCAGTAAACTACACGTTCTTACCTCCTGCCAGAAATTTTCAGAACATTAAGTGGAGACAGTCTGTTAAGGCATCACAATTTCTTTACATAGTAGAGGCTATTTACTGCAGTGGTCTGGTTAGAGGCGTTTCAGAAGGGCTTATACCTTGAAACAGGTATAATACCTGCCTAGGGCAGAGACAAAGGTCTCCCACAATGCTGGAGAAATGGCCATACTTCCAAAGGGAGTGTCAGACAGCTTCCTCACAAACACAAGTGACAGCAACAAGGTGGAAAACAACTCACATATTACAGGCTTCCCTACAGCGTTAACCGTGACAGTGGCTCTCCCTGGGAACCTTTGCTGCAATCTACAGCACTGTGGAGGATGTGACCAGGATATTCCAGCAGAGACATGCAGATTAGACTCTGCAGGACTCACATAGTTAGGACTCACACTAGCAGAAACTGTGTGAGCTTCCTGGACTCGCATGGAAAGGAGACTGCTGGGTATGTCTCTTCTCTTTCCACACCTGCCCCACTAACTCCAAAACAGAAAGGCTGTGACTATGACTCTGCTGAGCATCTTCACATCTCTGTCTTAGGAGGTAAGGGCAGGTGTTTCTCATGGAAAAGCACAGTATATACCCTGGAAGGGATACAACCCTTCAAGCTGCACAGACTCTCTCAGTATCAATGCTATGTCCTTGCTAACATGACATAAGAGGTTTCACCAAAACCTTGGGAGGCTTTAGAAACACAAGGACAAGACACTTGAACTGATACGAGACTGATGGCTTCTGTGACAAAGCACAGCAAGGCTTTGTCTCAGGGACCGGCAGACCAGAAACCAAACTGCCCTGGCGCTGGTCTTTTATCACCACGCAGGTTTCCCTGCTGCTCCCCTCATATCCCAATGAGCTTCCTTTCTTTTTACTTCTCCCTTCTCCCTAGTTTGGCTCCTTACCGTCTGCTCGGGCTCTAACATCTTTTTGTCCGTGGCCACTGGCAGAGCCACCTGAGAAGCTGGCATCTGCTTCCATCAGCAGGGAGAGAGAGGCTTGCTCACCTGCCCCATGCCCACTGGGGACCTTCTCACTGGACACCGAGTCTTTGGTGGAACACAAAGCCTGACTGTCCCCAAAAGCATGATTCAAACAGAAGCCCTCGCAGCTCCGGTTCAGCCCATGGATGAAGGGCATGGGTGGAAGACTCTGGCTGCGCCGAGCTCTTTCTTCAAGGAAGGTTGGGCAATCCCGCTGAGTCTCAGGGATAGGAGAGAACTCCAGGGAAGAATCACCACTAGAGCGGAGCGGTGGGGAGGTGCCGTTCTTTTTCCGTCCTTTAGCCAGTTCAGCGAATGATGTCACCCTCTTGGGGGGAGAGCTCTGAATGGGTATTGCTGGACTTTCACTCAGCTTGACTGGACAGCTCACCATGCGCTCCAAGGAGCCCAGCCTGCTGCCAGGACTCCTGTCCAAGTTCTGATCATAGCTCCTGGAGCGCTGCCGGCTTGTGTTGAGGTTTGGTGGTGACACATTGACATAGACCTGACCCTCAATCATGTTCTGGCTGGATTCTCCCTTTGGCTCCTCTTCACTGCACTCTACATTGCCTTCTTGTCTCAGGTCAGGCCTTCTGAACAGATAGTATTCTGTGGGCTGGGCTGGGCTACCCTTGGTCTGGTCTTCTGAGCAGCTAGTTATGGAAGATCCTGCAGGGCTGGGGGATGACTGGGAAGACAAATCACATGTGACTAACTTATAGTAATTCTGAGTAGCCACAACAAGCCGTGCTTGGCTCTGGAAGCAGGCAGTGAGGTCTGAGCTCTCTGATGTGCAAGGCTCACAGTGGAGGTGGTAGGAGTTGCAGTTAGCATCAAGGACAGGTGAGGAGGAGTGTTGACACCCACACACCTTGCCCGAACTTTCTGGGTTATGCGACTCACAAGACATCTTGGATTCAGTGGGTGATGAATGTAAATCCAGGTAAAAAGCTCCTGTGTCTGAGTGGCTGCAGAAGGAAGAGTCACAGGACAGGTTAGCTGAATTCAGGTTGGATTGAGACTGACCGTTCATTTTGTTGTAGAGAGCACTGAAGTTCACCAGGACCCCATCAGAACTGTTGCAAGAAGAGTCACTGATGTAGCCCATCTGTTGGTCAATCACTTCAGACTGACTTGATGAACTGTAGCAGCGACAGTGCTGGATCTCTGAGCTGGAACAACTGCATGTCCTGTGCAGGGCATCCTGATTCCTCAGCGGTTCACCCGTGTTCTGGTTCCACTCCTGGTCACCACTGTCGAAGGAGAAGTTGGAAGAGCTGCCACGATGGCAGCTGCATTCATCCAGCTCCATGCGTTCCGAGGCCTGATGGCACCTGTTCGCATTGTTCCTCTTCTGGATGTCATTACTACTGAGTTTGTCCTCTTGCCCGTCCACCACACCAGACCGGCTGGCCATGTTCCAGGACTTCACAATGTGGTTGGAGTCGTGGAGGTGGAAAGGGGGCAAGGCCAGATCCTGCAGGTTGAGGGGCGGTTTGCCATCGACAAGCGAGTTGTGAAGGTGGAAAGATTTCTGACCCAAGTCATCCCCAAAAATACTGAGGTCATCACCCTCACTCAGCAGGAAAGGGTTGTGTCGCTTACTGACACTAGGGACAATCAGATCCCTTGCTTTTCTTTCTTTGTTGTCTGAGGCCTCTGCTGAGGCTTCAGAGGTCTGGAGAAAGCTGCTGTACACCAAGGAGTCAGTCTGTGAGAGGTCTCTGTCTGGAAGGGCAGAGGTCCGTGTAGTGCTGAGCTCTGGCTGGCAGAAGGGGTTGGTCCTTTTGCTCACGGAGCAGCACTGTCTATCGGGGACCTGGCAATGCACCAGGGGAATGTGATGGACAATCAGTGTCTCACCAGTCAGTTTGGGTGGACTATCCATGGTAAGGAAGACTCTTCAGGGCATCAATGGAGCTGATACCACCCATGAACAGGTAGGGCTGCACATGAGAGGCAGGGAAGACACTTCTCATGAGGGAATTCAGATACCTACAGAGAGACAAAATCACAAAGGAAGTCACCTCTCGGGAAAGGCAGTGACTATTTAAAAACACCCTTGGTTTGACTGAAGATTTCATATGCTGACAAGGATCAAAATGGACTGGTTCCTTGTCAGCACAAGTACCTGAGCACAAGGTCCTTCTTCTGGGAAACAACCAACCACAATGTAAAACAAACACGTCACCCTCCATGCAGGCTCCTGGGACAACACTTGTGATTCCACCTGACCCCTCTCAAAGTTATCTGAAGAGAGTAGTTGATTTCAGTCAAGTGGCCAAAGGGCTGTACAGGATTTGGGCCAAACAAAGACCTCACTGCAGATGGCACTGTGTGCTCACAGGAAAACAGCACAGAGTCTGAAGTGAAGCACTGCACCCTGGTGAGAGCAGTCTATCTTCTCACAATGGATTAAACACCTTTGCTTCCTTTTAGATACATTGAACTTTCCTTCAAGAACCAAACACAGCGAGGTCTTGCAACAGACACACACACACACGCGTCCAGGAAGAGACTGAGAAGCAGGAGCAGACTGGAACAGAAAAGCAGCAACAGTCATTCCTCTCCAAAATCCAGGAGATCCCACAAGGTCCTGAACCCTTTTAATGGTGCCAGAGGAACATGCCAAAGTATGCAACTACTTATGTACACAAGGGTCTCTCCAGTGAAGAGGAGAGGATGACTGCAGTGGGGCCACAGGGCCATTGGTCAAATAGGTGACATACAGCGCACTGGCTTTTGCTGACCTTCTGCTGATGGTGAAACCTCAGCTCAGACAGGTCCCTACTGTGGTCTGGGAGGGGATCATATCTCTCTGCCACATTATCTGTGGCATTTACCTGCTGCACTTCACAACAGGGTGACTGCCACAGTCCCAGGAGCCATACAGGCAGGGCACTGCACAGGCAGGGCACCAAGAACCCCACTCTCCCTGTGTTCCATAAATAGCAGGTTCTTATGGAGCCAGAGGAATAACAAAATGGTTTGGGGCTGAAGGGACCTTAAAGAACATCTTTTTCCAGCCTCCTGCCATGGGCAGGGACACCTTCCCTAGGACCAGGTTGCTCAAAGCCCCATCCAAACTGCCCTTGAGCACTTCCAGGGATAGGGCAGCAACAATTTCTCTGAGTAATCCATTCCAGTGCCTCTCCACCCTCACATCTAATCTAATCTAAACACGCCATCTTTCAGTTCAAAGCTTTTCCTCCCTGTCCTGTCACTCTCTGCTTGTGTCAAAAGTCTCTCTTCATCTTTCTTGTAGATGTTCACCAGCATTTGATGTACAAGAGCAAAGAACAAACCCATTTCTTCCTCCTCACCTAACCCAGAGGTCAAGCCTACAAGCACCTCCAGCACAAGTCTGGAGAGGGTTTTCCTCTTGCCTTCCTTTCTACAGATCAAATAATCCAACACAGGCAAGTGCAAGGGCAGGCAGCTAAGGCAGCAAGGAGAGGGAGAAACCACAAAAGACTGATCCAGGATGAGTCTGAGAGATTTAAAAATTACCTAATGCTCTCACAGATCTACCACTTGTTCTGAAAACCTTGGCCCAAGCACCCTTGGTCAGCACTCACATCCTGTAACTCATTCAGGTATTCTCAGTGATCACTGCACCCTGAAAATTGCATCCTGGGATCCTGCTCTGGACTCCAGGGCCCCCACCACTGACCTTCAGACCCCAAAAAGTGGTATTCACAGTGACTTCTTCCTACCTTACCCCAGCATTTGGGACTGTGGGGTGATAATGGATTTGAAGCAGACCTGCAAAGGCACGTGGGAGCACAGGAGGGAAAGTGAGAAATGGGGGTTAAAGGAAGATATAACAAGAGCGTGAGCAATAAGACATCTACACAGCAACATCAGCAACTTCACTTCTTTCAGCCTCAAGGTGTAAGAATAGCAATTAGAAGATGATAAAAATTATCAAAATAAGTACTTTCCTCCCACACACAGTAATGCTTCTCACAGACACAGGATGATGCTGCCAGGAAACAAAAATACAAAGATGGAAACAGAGATAATGTTTGCAGCAAACACCCAATAATACAAAAGTTAATGCTATCACCAGTGTCAGAGAACAGACAGGCCTTCTGGTAGATGCTACCAGAGACTTACATGGCCAAGACGCTCACCTAAATGTCATGGACCACTTGAACCAGGTGGTGGACATATAACTGGACTACTAATGGTGCAACCCTAAACTCTCCCTCACCTGTAGTCTCCCTAAAACCTCTATCAGTGTTTATACCCCTTTCAGTGACTTCTCTGTTGTACAAGCCTTTGGCTACTTTTCCACAGCTGCTGCCACAGAGGCTCATCTCTACTCAGCTGAGATCCTGGGGGGGAAGATTTTCTTCATCAAGGATTCCTAAGATCCCATTGCTCAAGAGCCACAGTGGATAACAGCAGCTCCTGACCCTGAGCCTACAGCACACACACACTCACACTCACACACACACACACACACACGTTGCTGGAGTGGCCCCAATTTGGGCTTTGTGCACCACTGATGGCACAGCAGGAGCTGTGAGATTATCTGAGTTTATTTCTATTGAACGGAGCAGAAGCTTATCCTGTCTTCCTGCCCCCACCTCACAAGCATTTTGGGTAAAAAGCTGGTCCCCCAGTGCCTATCTACTCATGTAGCCCACCCCACCATTGTTACTGCTCTTGTATCTGACTGGAATGCCCAGATCACATCTCTCTACCAGGCTTTGCTGCATTTCAAGCGCTGCAACAATGCAAAGCATTGAAAGCATGAAATATCTGAGAAGCATAGTTTTGAGGATACAGACAGTGATGGCAGCACACTTCACTGCTGAAGCACCAGGCTTTGCTGCCTCCGGGAAATGGCTGCTTGGGGCAGGTTCCCAGCACCAGCACCCATCTGCTGACAAGCCCCGCTGAGCAGCACACAATTCACGTCAGCACAGAAGCTGCTGTGGGAGGACAAGGCTCACACAGACACACTTTGACATTTGACAGCAAAATGTCAGAGCTGACACGCAGCCATTTCCCATCTGTCTCTCCGGTGCTCTGGCTGCAACACGCAGCTCTGCCCAGCTCTCTGGCTCCAGCAGCAGCACAGCCTCCCCGGGCGGGCTGTGATTCACTGGCCGCCAGAGATGCTCCAGCAGACGGATGCCCATCCTGCCTGCACCCACGACCTGCTCCCAGTGCCAGGCTCTGAGGTGCAGGATCACAGGTGACATGCAGACAGCTCCTGCCAGGAGACATTCTGATGGCTTCTCTAGGGATAGGCACGACATTTTGTGCCGTAGCTACTCCTTTTCTCTCCTTTGCAACCTCTCCTGGCTTCCTCTGGACTTAGGGGTGCAGGGAGGTTGGCAATGGCACTGCCAGCACAAGGATTATTCAGTTCCCAACACCAGAGTATCCTCCCTGGCCTCAGCATTAGTTGACACCTCCTCATTCTGGAAGACTGTAGAAGTATCCTTCCTCTTCCTACTCAGGGTCTACTATGCAGGGACTGACACTGAGCAGTAAAATGCAGCAAGCAGACCAGTTTCAGATTTTGCTGGTTTTAATCAGCTCTCTGCAAAGCCCTCACTCCCCTTTTGCAACAGGAAATTTACAAATGTGGATAGGCAGTTCATACATGAACATTTTTTGCCAAATCAGTTTATTCTTACCGTTATGCTGAATCCTGCTCAATGCTACACACCCAAGAGCAAACACAGCATCCAGGACCGAGTCCTGCCTAGAACGGCATGCAATGGCAGTGCAGGGCAGGGAGACATGACCACTCCAGACATGTCTGCACATCAGCCATTTTATTTTCAAATGTCAGAATTCTTGCCTTCTCCATACTGACACCATCTGCTGCAACATGGCAGATATGGGTTGTTTGTTCAGGGAGCTCTTCCTTGAGGTGCCAAGGGTTACCCAGAGAAGGTGGGGACCACACTGTGGATGCTTCATTCCAAAAAGGATAATACAGAGCAGGAAGAATGGCTTTTTGTGAGACACCTCCATTTGGTATGGAATTGCTCATGAATGATTGTACCCCCCTGGAAATAAACAACACAACAAAAACTCCTTAGCTGCAGCAAAGCCCTAGGTGAAAAGCTGATAGGTGCTCAGCTCTAGGTGGGTGCTGAGCAAGAAAGGATGGTTCAGCACTGATCTGAGAGCTGCCTATCAGGTTATGTCTAGCTTTAGAGAGGAGGCAGCATGCTGCAAGTAACAGGAGCATGCAGAATCCTTCGGGCTCTGCACTCCATGCCTCTTAAGTCCTTGCTGACCACTACACTGAGGCCCTCAAATCCCTCTCCTGTCATACTCCTAAGACTGAGGACACTGTGCTAATTCAAAGGTGGTCAGTGCAGTTTCAGGGCTCCCTGGCCTCGGGTACCAACTCCTGCCTCTGCAGCACTGCTGAGAAGATGCAGCAGCAACCAGACCTTGCTGCAATTGCCTCCAAGGGCTGATGTGTGGTGGCTGCACAAGTCCAGGCATACTCTAGCATTTGTTATGGCTCCAACCAGGATTTTGGAGTTCTAGAGCTGAACCCTTAATAGCCTGCTCTGCTCAGAGCCGTCCTGTGCACACACATGGGGTGACAGCATTCAGCTCACAGTAACACAGGCTTCCTCATAAAATGTAACGCACTGGAGAAGGCATGCAGAGATAAGACAGACAAATGTGATTTTAATGTAAAAAGACTGCACATAGAGCACAGAGGATGAGGAAGCAGGTGCAACATCATCAGAACTGTCAGCTGGAGGCAATGCTGGCTTTTTTGGAGGATGGCTTTTCGGAACAGACTATTGTTTCTACAAACCTCAGTCACTTCATCCATGAAACTGAGTGTCCACAGGAAACCTTTAACTATGAGGGTTATTGCTGACTCCTTCTGTACGGCTGTGGCTTCACTGCTATCATCACCTTCCTCAGAGAGTCCAAAATTCATCATGTCGTTCAAGGGTGAAATATGTAAAAACACAATTAAATGCTAGTTTCATGGAAGA